CTAGTAGTAGTAGTTGATGTGGTTCTTGGAGTTGTGCTAGTAGTAGGTGATGTAGCTGTTCGAGTTGTACTTGTAGTAGTTGATGTGGTTGTTCGAGTTGTACCTGTAGTAGTAGTTGTTGGAATTATGCTAGTAGTAGTAGTTGATGTAGTTCTTTGAGTTGTACTGCGAGTACTTGATGTAGTTGTTCGGGTTGTACTGCGAGTACTTGATGTAGTTGTTATTCTAAGAAAGAAGATAAAAAAGAATTGTATAGAATAGTGAGAAAGTCTTGATAAATATTCTTTTATACTTTGTGCTTGTTAATGTTGACAATATTTTATTTGATATTGGGGAGATGAGTACACGCACCCTATGTAACACAAACATTATAGGTTTACATGCTGAAAAAACGATGAATAATTTTCATCTGTTAATTTGACTTACTGAATAGAATCAAGACATGTTCCATTAAGAATTCCTTTATTCAATTCACAATTAGGATATTGTTGACGGCAAGCATCAAGACATTTATTTATTTGACAATTATCTGTTATTATTGTAACTGAATTGAATTGTACTATGTCACATATTGTCTGTATCGTTGTCGTACAACAAGTACATTGACACTCGAAGCTAACTGCACTTGTATTAATGAAATTGATAAAGAATAAAACATTAAGAATTGTATACTGACACAATAGAAAATTCATGATAAACTCTAAAAATTGAGAATATTTTTTTTTTGTACTTATAAAATGTTAGACTAGACGTTTATTCGTCCTCTTTTATATGGATATTGTACGAGATTTAAAAGAATACTATCGTCATTTACTGGTTCATACGCAAGAATACACCTACACTTCTACTGTCATCTGAGAATATATACTTTATGATTTATTCTGTAATCCTAACATTGATATACGAAAGTTTGGTTTTCAGTTTGCACGTCAGATTAGCAATGTAAGTATTGATTCATATTAAAAATTATAGTGATGAAATTACAATTTACGTATATTCGTGTTATTTGATTCTTCTGATAAGTGTGTGAAATTTTGCCAACCGACGTCATACGCGTACACATGAATCACATAATGTATTTGATCCTACTCAATTAAATCAACATGAAATTACTTTATTAATTTATTTCTATTTTCATGTTTAATAAGTTTAATTTAGTAAATAATATTCATTTTCAAAAGAAGAATACATTTTCTTCATATAATAATCATTAAATTTTTATCTATCTACAGATGATATAATATGTTTATCAATAAAAAAATTTCTCATCATGAATTAGTCAAACATATTTTTTTTCGACGATAGCAGCAGGAGAAAATATTTACATATAGAAACTGACATCCATTGATATAGCCATTTTTTTCATAAATAAATACTTGTTAACTTGTCCTTATCGATAAATCATCAGCAGTAACTTTAAAATATTTCTCGAATAAATAAAGAGAATACAATCATCTTCAAAAAAATTAAACTGAAAACTTCGATGAACTCATTGTTCTTCTTCTAACCGATGCTAGTATTATAAACAATCTCTCAATACTCATCAATTGTACATGACAAAAAGAGTTTTCAAATAATTCTTCTTATTTCTTTTTGAAAATAAATATAGAAGAAACGATCCACGTCAAAAATTATAGCATTTCTAGTCTATATAGTAACGGTGAGGTTAGTATTACTTTTCAATTTAGGTAGAACAGGTATATATTTTTTAAAAGAAATTATGCATATTATTATAACACAAAACTGATTTCATAAAATAAATGATAATGCTGTTTTAATGAATTGTTAAATATGGTGTAATAGATTCACATATGATTCCTAAATATATTGATATATTTTTCTCAACACGACAATAACATGGTATTAAATAACTCAGATAATCTAAATAGTATGAATGTAGTAACATAATTAACTGAATCCATCATATATATAGGAAGATATAAAATAATTATCTGATAGATTTAAAAGTCTTTTAATCAATCTCATATAAATATTGTTGTTATATTTGCATCATTCAATTTTCTTTGATCTTATAACGAATACTTGTAATGCAAAAATAACAGTCTTTCAGTGACCTCTATTTATTAAGCATGCTACATATCTGATTGATAGAATACCTGCTGAACGAATAACCCTCTTACTTGTGTAAGACATGAGTATGAGACAGCATACTTCCTCGTTTACTTTTCTTGTATTAAATCGAAATAGTCACAATCAAGGATGTCATCAAATAAAGACGATGATCAAGAAGAACAGTCCTTCTTAAAACATGTTACATCTCATCTACCATTAGACTGGTCAGATGAACAACGTGATACTTATCTTCAGAATATATTAATTCAGTGGCGCAAACGTCGAGATCATTCACATGAAGAACAACGTCTTATGGAAAAATATTTAGCTACTATTAAGCAATATTTTAGACCACAATCACCTGAATTATATGATTTTCAACAATGGCCTATAGATCAAAATCTTTTAAATATGATCAAATGTGATTCACTTGATACTGATATTGTTAAACAAGTAAGTTTACTTTCTTTGATATATGTTCTTCGTTGAAATTATTATATCATAGATGCAAACAACAGGTGTATATACTTTTTCATTTTTGCCTGTATCATTTTGTCAATTATTAATTAATGAAATAGTCTATTTTGAACAATGGTGTATTGATAATGGATTAAAATTGTATCGTCCTAATTCAATGAATAAATATGGTGTTATTCTTGATCATTTTGGATTTCAAAAATGTTTAAATGATGTCGTTACAAATATTGTAGAACCATTGACTCGATTGATTTATAGACATGTAACACTTCCACTTGATTCTCATCATGGTTTTGTCGTTGAATATGCGATGGACAAGTAAATAAACTCTTGCTTTAGTTTAAAATTATTTATTTTTTATTCTTTATATGTAGAGATAGAAAACTTGATTTTCATGTCGATGATTCTGCTGTAACATTAAATCTTTGTCTTGGAACAGACTTTACAGATGGTCAATTATATTTTGGTGGAGTGCGTTGTTCATCTCATACTGGTACAACTGCACCAAGACATGATGAAGAGTTTTATCTTGAACATCAAGTTGGTATGGCATGTCTCCATCTCGGTAATCATCGACATAAAGCATTACCTATTACTAATGGACGACGACTTAATCTTATTCTTTGGGTAAACTAGAACATAGCATTTTCAAAAGCATAAAAAATATTCTAAATTATATTTTTATTTAGTGTCGATCATCAAAATTTGATAGTGAAAAAGAGAAAAATGGTGAAGATACATGTCCAACTTGGTGTGGATATCATGAAATAGAAAATGTACATGATATTTAAAAATATTGTTTTATTTTTGTTAATAATCAAGAAAGAATTTTAAAAATTAAAGCAAACGTTCTTTTTTTTCATATTAAAATCAATTCGATTGCAAAGATTCATGATGAATATAACCACTAAAATTTGTTTGAATATGTAAAGATTGAACTTGAAAATATTTATTTATCATATCTTTAAATTTGTCGATTGTTTCCTGTTGTGAACAAACTAATTCTACGGTATCTATTGATGGTTTATTATCTGTAATTGATTTTTGCTCATGTGAAATTTGTACCACAACAGCAATTAATTGTCGACTTCCATTAGATTCTTCAAACGTTACACATGTTGCACAACTAACAAGTACATTCAATTGTTCATAAACATTTTTATCGCAGCCTGTACATACGATAAGAACTTGTTCATTTCCTTTGTCAGTTAAATTTCGATAAAAAAAGCCTTCTTGAAGAGGAATATAAGTAACATGTAAATAATTATCGAGTATATTTGCAGTTATTGATGATAATGGAATGTTGATATCATTTCTAATGCATAATTCTTTTCGACTTTTACCTGATGTAGCATTAAAAGCTTGTTGATAAAGTTTTGTAAATTCTGGATCACCTGAATGTTCGAGAAAGACTTGTTCATTAGCATATATTTCAGTAAAAATAAGTTTTGTCTTTGCTTCATTTGAATGTCGAAATATATATGTATATACTCCTGGATGATCACGATGAACAATATTAGCCATACCAGCTAACCGTTCAAGCATATTTGTAGCTGTTGATTCTGAACTTGCATCGAATTCAACATGTAATAAAAACGCCATGTTTTTTTTAAATTTCTTCTATCTATTTTATAAAAAAAAGTAACTGCTTAAATAGAATGCGATAACACATTGTTGGTTTTATGAGTCATCGGCACAACCTTGATCCATACCATACCATATAAGGTAACATAAATATGGATGTCTCATAGATTGTTAACAATAGTGAGTTAGCTGTTGTGATTACAAAATCTTCTAACCTTTTGAATAGTTGAAAAGATGTGAGGAAAGAAAAACAACCTCATGGTATTGGCTTTTGAATTTTAATAGAAAAAATAGTAGGCGAGAGCGGCAAAAGATAACAGATTAACACAATACTTATTGAAACTGAAAGAATGTGTATCCAATGAGATTTCACATTCGTACATATGCAGTATAGCTCGAAAGGTCGATTCTTTGATCAGTTAGGATTGTACTTATGATGGTGCTTTTTCATTAGAACAAATTTGTAGATGTTTTGAAAGTCCTCTATCTTTGTTTAGGAAAACTGTGAATAATCATGTACTCGAAAACATAAAAGTACTAATTAAGATACTGATAGACAGTTGTAATCAGTTAATATATATATTATTAAGATTATTTCTATGATGAATAGTTGTTAATACAGGAATAAAAATTTAGAAAATGACTTAAAACAGATACATTATAACATGGGATATATCCTATTATTTATTATAAAAACCAATCATCCATATGGTTATAACAAAACTAGAAGAAAACAATTAATTTTAGGTCTTTATGTGTCATTCATTAAATATTTTTAACATATGAATACCGTATATAACTAATAGTAATAATTATCAGTAGATTTAATTTAATAGATGCGGTTTTTCTCGATATATTTTCCAAATAAATTCACCAAATAAACTATTTGCCCAAGCAAACCAAGATCGTGTAAAATGTCTTGGATTATTGACATCTATTGATTCATGCATAAATCCTGTATTTGCATGAGATTTTTGTAACATTTTTATGCAAGATCGTATTTCTTCATCATCATTTGTTGTTAAACCACGCATGATAATTGCAAGTGGCCATGCCATTGAAGGTCCAACATGTGGTCCACCATTACCTTTTGAAAGAAAAATTAGACATTGAGAACACATATAAATGCTTACCTTCAAGTGCAGCTCCTTTAAAAAACCATGGATTATCTGTACTAAGTACAAATTTCCGTGTATTTTGATAAATTGAATGATTTTTTGGAATATCATTAGGACATAAATATGGTAACGAAAGAAGTGATGGAATATTTGAATCATCCATTAAATTTGTATGACCAAGTCCATCGGTTTCATATGAATAAATAAATCCATATTTAGTATGACTAACTGTAATTGATGTTTCTGAATTATTTGTCATTTTGTCATTAAATAAAATATCATGTAGAACAGAAGTTAAACTTAATATATCATTATTAAAATCAGCTGTCCATTCTAATTTTTTTACAAGTTCTAGTAAGAGATTCAATGTATGATGTGCAAAAAATTGCGATGGAATAAGATAAGGATATAGTTGTAAGTCATCACTTGGTCGAAAAAATGTATGAATAAGACCATTTGGTTTTGAATGACGTCCACGTGGATCTGTAGGATGACCTTGTCGTTGATATGTATATGGACCTTAATATATATAAGAAAGATTAAGTTTACAGTATGCTAAAAATTGTCAATATTGAGAAATCGTCAAAATGATAGATTTTTTCATTAAATCAAAGTATACTAAATATTTATTCTAGTATGTAAATGATTTGATAAGGGAACAACTTATTAATCAAAATATTGTTTTACCGAATCACACATGTGATTTATTAAGCGAGAGAAAAAGAAAAGAAAAAAAAACATTCATGATGTTTTGCATAAAATAATATTTATTTTCTATATAGATTCTGTTATATGCATTAGAAATGTTCTGATAATAAGAACTTGTTGAATAGATTATTTAGATGAAAATATTATCTTTTATTTAATTTCTATAAATTATCAAGAAATACTCCATATTCTTCTGTCGTAAGAAAGAAAAAATAATAAAAAAACTATACAAATACTTAAAATCAATGTAGATTTAAAGGCTAAAATCTGTAACATAAAACTCTATTGAAAAATTACTTTTGATGCACAAATGTTTTTTATATCATTTCATAATATCCGACTTATATACTTCTTTTACTTAAAAAGAATATTTACAAATCTAGATTCATTTAATCATAATTATTACATTTCTTCTACTATTTTAACTTATATAATAATGTATAAATATTTTCTTGTTTTATAAAAGACTTCAATAGAAGATGAATGTATTAAATTTCTTATTGTTCTATTTTACCTGATCCATTGAATCGTTGTTGTTCTTTCATCGTTTGTAAAATGATACGAATAGTTGTTTTAAATGTTTGTTCATTTTCACGAAAAAAAGTTAAATCATGATCAACTTCTTTCCAATATGAATGCATTAATCTTAGAACATAGCAAAGAGAATCTAATTCCCATTTTCGTTCATGCACACCGGGACGCATTTCTGTTAGATCCATTTGTTTCCATTCACTAGTACGACTCGTATCTTTATAATGTGCATTTGCATATGGGTCACGTTGAACAAACATACACTGTCGTAAGAGTACACCTTCAATCAATTGACGAAGTTTGGGATCATTACGTATTAAAGGTAGATATGGATTTACTTGAGCACTTGAATCACGTAACCACATGGCATCGATATCACCTGTAATAACATAAGTATCAGGATGTTTTTCAGATGCTGCTTTAACGTCGAAATCAACGGTTGTATCGAGTGTATTAGGAAAACAATTTTCAAATAACCATGCAAGTTCTTTATTTTTGATATTTTTTTTTATTTCTTCAATTAATGATTCAACAGCTGTACTTGTAAATCGACGTTTTTCTATAGGTCGACGTACTTCAGGAAAATTAGGAGAAGCAGCAGTGGTAGATTTCGTAGTTATAACAGGATCAGTCATAGTAATAGTGGTAGTAATAGTTACTTTAGTACTTGCATTTATGATAGAAATTGCACGAACAGTCGGAACTGCATAATGTAGATCATGTGATTGATAATCAACAGGTGATGATGATGAACTTTGTTGAGAGAATAAATGTGTACATATTATAATGATAATGATGGCAATAAAAATTCCAATCAAAAGACGATTCCGTTGACGACGACGTAGTTGAAGCAAGGGTGACATCAATGCAACAAAACAGGAATGTGGAAGAGAAATTTTGTTCTTGCAGTCTTTACTATTTTCTGCGTGCACACATTACCAGTTGTTGTGTTCTTTTTTTTCTTTCTTTCAAAGCAAGTTTTTGTCGTTTCTTTTTCTTCTTACCGGTAAAATGAAATACAATATGTTGCTATGCAGGATTGATTAAAGCATTTTTAAAAAGAAAAAAAAATTAACAAATACATAATAGACATACAATTACAAAACCATTCACTATATGTGAATACTGTATCAAGAAATCAGCATCAAAAATTTAAACAATTGATTTATGAATGTTCAAAATGTTATATAGTCTTCGAGTATATATGATTTTAATCAGTAAATAATGATTCTTATCTACACTTGATGAAGTTTTTGAAAACAATTAGAAATTTAATATATTCATAAATAAATGTAAGTCATATACCTTAATTGAGGACAAAATTTTTATCGTGATCATTAAAAAAAAACATTATATATCATTCGATTACTTACATAAAAATTAATAGTTGTGTCTATTAAAATGAAGATGAGAACATTCCTATAGGTTCTTAAACAATGATTAAATCTAATAACCTTGTATACGTACAAATATGAGACTAAATAAAAATATAATCGACAATTTTGCATAAAGTAATGAATATAATGAAATGAATAGACTTGTCATCATGTGAAGTTAAAGTAACCTTGCTTTTTGTACGAAGATTAATGAGGAGTTGAAAACAATATGACAGTTATATCTATAAATAACGAGAGATTCACAGAATCGTTTCTATCGTAGCAGACACAGACAATTTTAGTCTGTGTTAGCTATATAAATATTTAAGTATATTTGTAGTGCATATATTGAGAGAGTGTCAATGAAATTTATTTTAACATATATATAGACTAATTGAAAACTAATAAAACAGAAATTTTAGCTTTATTTCCAGTAGTATCGTAGTATATTAGAAAAAAAAAGATTCTTTCTTAAAAAATTCATAACATCAAGTGATGGATTGTATGACAATAAATATGATATTGATAGTATTCGTTTGAAGAGAAACGATTGCATATTAAAATTACATTACGAAGAAATAATGCCTTCTGGTATTTGATATTGAAACAAAGATTAGTATATGAAACAATTGATAAATATTGATATTAACTCAAGCTTTAGCGCTTTGACGGTAAAGCCCATAAATTTACTGTTTCTAAAGTTATTCAGAGAAAATGTTCTTAATTATATTTAAAGATACATGTCATCAGTAAATCAAAATTTTATAAATGCTCAATATCTTTTGGCTTCTAAATCCTTTCCTTCTCGTGCCTCACATACAACAGACAATACAAATTATCAAAAAATTCACAGATAGATAACTAAAAGAGAGAACAGATTTATGTTCTATGTAAGAATTTGTATACTTTAGTTTGTCCTTTCTCGTATTTTATTACTATATGTTATATGGCAATTGCGATAAAGGTTCTGTATATTTTTTATATGAAAATAAGCCATATTTGTTTACAAACTAAAGGTCAATGACTTATTCATGACTGTTAATAATATCTCAAATGTTACATGTTTGTTTTCTCAAAATAAAAATCTCTAAAACGCGCATTATTCTACTTTTTTAAATGTCTACTAAAAATTCTAGTTCATTTTTTGATGCTAATACATTTCGTCGTTTATCTGTTCGTTTAATTTTAATTGGTTTTGCTATGTTTATGATGTGTTCAATAATGTGTGTAACACAAAATTATTATATATTAATATATACATGTGGTATTTTAGCTATAATAATTGAAGGTAGCATAAGTCTTTATTATCAATTTCGAGGTGAATGGAAAGATTTTAAATGGTTTTCTCCATCAATTATTTTATTTATTATAACATGTGTACCAATATTAAAAATTCTTAAACAACATCAATTACATGTTAGTCAAATATTTCGACAAACAAATATTGAATTATTACTTAAACGGAATGTGACATATTGTTTTGATGTTAAGTATAAGCATATATATTTAAATTCGATTATATTGGACTATCCAGTGTATACATTTCAATGTTCAAAAAATCGTTTAATGTATTTTAATAAAGATAATTTTCTATTAATGTGTTCATTATTAACAAAAATACAATATAATTCATGTAAATCATATAAAATATGTCGAACTAAATCAAATTTTATTATACCTCGATCATTTTTAAAAAATTCATGTTCACATTGGAGAGAATTAATAAATCGTTTTACATTAGTTGGTATTCTAAGTGATGAATTAGCTGGTTTTATGCTTATTGAACAATTACTTTTACTAGTCTTAGTTATTGTTAACTGGATATGGCCACAAACTGAAAGTTCAGATGAAATATATTTTGCTCAAATGTTACGTCAATATTTAGCTGCTGCACCTGATATTGTTGAATTTTATGGAAATTTTCATCAAGGTGAAAATTTAAATAAATTACAAGATAGAAAAAATTTACAATCTGCTATTTTTATTATATTTATTATGTCAATATTTCAATTTAGTATAAATTTACAAATGAAAATAAAACCAACACGATATATACATAAACAAGATTTTTATCAATTAAATATAAAAGATAAATGTTTAGTTATATTTGAATTCATTTTTTCAACATCAATGTGGTCAGTTATTTATATAACACTAACACAAGATTTACCATTTTTAATTATACGGTGGTATTTTCTTACTTTTATGTCAGATAGTTCAAGTAAAATGATTTTTTTCTTATTGAAAAATGTTTTAACTATAATGATATCGTTTCATTCTGGTTTCATTGATATAATTCAATTTAAAGAAAATATTCAGAAAAAAAAGACAAAAGATTAAATAAAAACTTTATTATAAAGAAAATTATAAATATCAAAATAGCAATACGCTTTTTCTAAAAAAAATATAGTGTGAAATATCTTGATAAAAGAATAACTAGTTTTTTAAGCTATTCATAGAACAATATAAATATACAAAAAGATCATATATTCAAACATATTGACCATCTAGAACAAGTAAAATGAATATATGAAAATGTTTTAGTTTACTAATGGTATCTTAAAGATGTGTAGTTTGCTTTTGCTTATACAAAATGTAGATCTACTTATTTAGGTATGCCAATAAAAAAGCTGTATTAAACAAGTTTTCATGCAAGAGATTGTAACTTTTGAATAACCATCTTGAGCGCGTAGGTGTTAGCGTCCAAGTGTATTATCTTGGACGCTAAACGAAGATTAAGTTATCTCTTCTAGTCTAACTGGCTTAGATATCTGCTCGGATAGCAGAAGCTATGTGGTTCGAGTCCCATGAGGGACATCTTTTTCTTTCGTTCCTCTCTCTCTTTTCTTTTCGATAGACCTCTAGGTGTTCATACTATCTTTCTTCACGATATATGATCTCTCTCTCTCTTTATGCTATGATATATCATATCTCTCTTCTTGTGGTATATATAGTTTCATTTTCTACTGTTTGCCACAGAATAAAAGAGCAAAACGATGTAAGCCATGCGCAAAAATAGTATTCCAGATTAATGAAAAAAACAAGGAGGTAAATTTTTGATCTTCTTGTTTGCTTCTTATAAAATTATCTTCTTACGTATTTTTAGGAAACCATCTTGAGGCCTTTCCTTTTCTCAGGAAGCGGCAATCCAAGTTCGCCGGCAAAGTTATCGCAGAGGTATTGAACTCTCTTGATATCTACAACATCAGGTACAAGTTAGAGTTCAACTACCTCGTAGCTGGTTGATACACGAAGCCGCCGGGTGGCCGTGAATTGGGCCTACGAGCAGATCTCCTCGAAGAGGTTGAAGGACGGAGCAACCAAGAATCACGAATACTGGTTGTCGAAGCTCAAGGTTAGTATGACTTTCTATTTCAAAATGATAGTTTCTAACGTGTTTATGTTTTTTCTGTACTTAGGTATGCAACATCGCCCTATCCTGAAGAAACATCACCCCAGCATTGGGGGATATTACAGCATACACTACAGTGTTGTGGATGGTCCAAGCCCGTCTGAATTCATCAAAGCCATGGTAGACAACAACATGACAACGATTCGACATGATCTGTCGAAGCTGTTGGTGAGTCTTGAGGGTG